ACTGTACTAACACTGATGCTGCTACTGTTACTATTACTGTACTACTGCTATCACTCTTGTTGCTGGTGCTACTACTACTACTAGTATTACTACTACTAATACTAGCACTACTGTTTCTGGTACTACCACTATTATTACTACCACTAATACTAGCACTACTATTGCTGCAGCTATTACTACCACTATTACTACTTCTAGTACTCGCATTTATGTTGCTGCTGCTACTACTACTATTAATACCACTACTAATATTACTACTACGACTATGACTACTGATTTTCCCACTGTTACTAGTACTGTTACTACTACTACTATTTCTAATAATAATAATAATAGTAATAATAATAATAATAATAATAATAATAATAATAATAATAATAATAATAATAATAATTATTATTATTATTATTATTATTATTATTATTATTATTATTATTATTATTATTATTTTGTTTTGAGGAACGAGGGATGAATTTTCAGCAGATAACTACTGGAATACATATTGGCATATATGCCTCATGAATTCTTGTATCTACACCACCAGGTACTCTCTTTTCCGTGTGCCTGAGGAAGAGGCGGCTAGGGAGAACAGGGAGAGGGATACAGTGGTAGAGCAAGACGTCCAGCGAGATGAACAAGATTTGGGAAGGTGAGATTCATACAGTAGAACTTCTTCCTCATTAAGATTAACTTAAATCTGCAAGTAGTGATCAATCCTCTGATATTGTTAACATTGACTCAAGCATTTTAGAATGCAATAAAATTCCCTTTGTTGAAATGTTTACCTCGGACTCTTAGGTGAGTGTTGGCATTAATCGAATCCCAGATTCATTGAGTAAACTGAGCTGGTGAGTGTCCTCTTTTCCTGATGTGACAATTAACCAACTTTAATTTTTTTTTTTAAAGTTATACATCATCAAAGGTTCCTTCCAAGACCACTTCTAAAACCACAAAGACGACAGGCACCAAGACGACAGGCACCAAGACAACAGGCACCAAGACGACAGGCACAAAAACAGGCACAAAGACGCCATCGCCTGAAAAGTTAACAGCGCCTGATCGAATCGACAACACCCTCTGGTACCTGTCGAGAACTGTCGATTTCGATTCCTGTGAAGATCTTGTCAAATGGGAGGTAAGGATCTCCTTCAGTACTTCGAGAGGTGAAGCAGATATGAATGCACACATTTAAGACATCTTTGCTGGAACCTTGTTTAGGGTCCCACGGTCGAAACGTCGTCAGTAAAGGTGTTCTAAGTGTATGCATTCGTGTCTCCTACCCCTTTAGTTTGTCGACATTTACTGTCATCTTATTATAATTATTCGGTATTTCCTTTACAATGCAGTAGGTTGAGTTACTACTGAGTCCGTTCATTTTTATTCCTCATCATCGTTGTCGATTCAGTCAATTTCAGATTCTTTTGACTATCTGTATCACGGTAGGAGGATCAGCGGTAGTTTTGCTGTAATAGTAGCGGCAGTAACAGCAGGATTATTATTGTATTATTATTATTAATGTTATTGAGTTTAATATTTTCATTTGCAGATCCACGGTAACACGAATACTGACCACAGCATCCGTCGTACCTCCATCGCCACCTATCTTCTCCGTGGTAATCACAGAGACATACGTATCGAGTACGCCCTCATCGAGGGTTCTGTTAGTGCGTTCACAAGCAGTGTTTCTGAAGAACATATCACAACCTTCACCAACCAGGTAATGTGGCTCTCCCTTACCCTGTCTCTCTAGTCGATAATTTTATATAATGCGTCTTATTGCATAATGCGTCAGCATCACCTCACACCACAACTTTGCGTCTTGCAGACGCTGGAGTTGAGAGCAGTACGACGCATCTCTCGAGTGTTTGCCATCGACTACCCGTCGGTGAACCACAACTCCTTCCATTATGAAGTTGATCATCTTCTCACCGACTTACAGGTATTTTTTCACTACTAATATTTTTTTTTTTTTGTCTTCAAGATACAAAAGGGTAATATAAATAAGTAAATCGTGAAGTCACGTGTGCAGCAAATAGTCATATGTGCTACATTTGTACAAAAAAACCAAAGTCAAATTTGCAACACGTGGAAAAAAAAAGTCAAATGTACATATGGAAAGCCATGTATGCGTCAGTAGCTGTATGACCCTAGTGGGCTTAGCGCTTCATTTTCTTTATAATAATAATAGCATGCATCAGTAAAGCTACTTTCGCATCATTAATAAAAATAAGCAGTGCAGCATCACTACAGTCATGTATGTTTCCTCTACCAGGAACCAGGTCATGAGTTACATCCCAGCCTGGAACAGCTGGTCACTGGAGTCCCCATCGACGGTCATGGCATTACTGAAATCAAGGTGAGTGGGAACACTGACGTGTGTCCACTCGGGAAGAGATATACATGAAACCCAGGCATTGTGTACATAACATCCAGATTTGATGTACATGTATGGTGAGGTATGTACGCGATCTATGTAAGGTGTACGTGTCCAGGTGAAATGTACGTGAATCCTAGATGAGGTGCACATGCAGCTCTGTTGTGGTGCATGTTACATTCTATCATTTTGGGTAAGTGGGGAGCAGAGAGAGAGAGAGAGAGAGAGAGAGAGAGAGAGAGAGAGAGAGAGAGAGAGAGAGAGAGAGAGAGAGAGAGAGAGAGAGAGAGAGAGAGAGAGAGAGAGAGAAGTATAAATTAATCATTCGTCGACTGACTCATGTTTGGACCATGTTTTCATAGCAAATCTTTTTATGAAATCAAGACACCTGAGAAAATCAGGGTCTCTGACTGGCTTGAAGCACAAACTTTTTGTTCACACTATGTTTGCTGCTCTAAAATAAAGGAAATGTAAACCAGTAAATTAGTTCTGCAACGGATACATTTTTCTGGCCGGGTTTTGATGAGAACAGAGGTGTAGTAACAGCTCTTAACTAATTAAAATGCAAGCAGATAAGAGTAATCCTTATTAATTCAATCATTCCAGAACCTTGTCATCAGTCATCTTGACTTGTTAGCCAAACGAACAACAACATTCCCATACAGCAAAGACCCACTGGTGAAGGATCTGAAACTCTTGGTTGAAGCCGCAGGCTTTCTCAGTCGACCAGAGATCGAGTCCGTGTTTTCCCAGATTGGACAGGGTGAACATCAAGATAGGAAACAGTAAGTAAATCTCTGATGAATCTCTAGTGTAATGGGGGGAAGAGCTCATTAGGAATGAAGTTTAAGCCACCCTCACCTTTCCTTAATCCCCAGGTTCGGTGAGACCCATAATGTTTTAGCAATTCCCCGTGATGATAAAAATAATCTGATCGAATATTATGCAATGACCCTCTGCAAGAAGTTACGTAGAATGACTCCTGCTTTAGTTCTTTTCACTGTCGGGGCCATTAGTTACGTTTCGTCAATTCTCTTGATTCTAAATTAGCTGATTTTAGAATTAAGAGATACATGGTTGTCGCATTACTGATACTGCTTTAATTAATATTAATCATTAGGTTTTCATCTCAGAATAATTGCTCACTGGTAATGAAATACCAAGAGAACAAGAGAATAAAAACACTGATCATCGAGTAGGTAAATCCCACATGGAAGCAAAAGTTCTCGCTCCACACAGTGAGTGTCCGGGTTCGATTCCCGGCAAAGGGGCGGAAACATTGGGTGTGTTTCTTTACACCGGTTGTCCATATTCAACCATCAGTAATAATGGGTACCTGGGTGTTAGTCGACTGTTGTGGGTTGCATCCTAGGAAAAAACTGACCTAATTTGCCCGAAATGCTCTGCATAACAAGCAGCTTTCTAAATAGTAGTATGTCACTGATGTCAGCTGGACCTGTATACCTTGTACATGTACTTGTAGTAAATAAAGATATTATTATTATTATTATTATTATTATTATTAACAACAACTTGTCAGGGAGGTTCTAGTCTCCTGTCATGTAGGCTGGTAGACAACCATCCAGGGAGGCAGTAGACTGGTAAACAACAATATTCGGTTGGTGGACATCAACCATCTAGGGGAAAAAAACATTTTTACGAATTAATGGTTTTCTAAATAAAAATATCTTTACTTTGAGTGTCTTTTTACTACTAGGTATTAATGCTAAACGTTTTGCACTCTGGCAAGACTACTGGCCTTTATTTTCTGATACCTGAACAAAATAGTAAGTAAACTTTACCCTAAATACCGACGGCGAAATACCATGAGATTAGCTTTGCTCTTGTAGCTACAAATAGGCAATAACTAAAAGGTAATTAAACTTAACCTTTAGAATTACGTTACAAACTCCTGGAGATTAGAAAGTAAGAGAAAGATGGCCAGATTTCATTTTCTTTTAGAGTGTACGAAAGCCTTCGACACTGCCACGTAAGACTGATAATTCTGATGCGAACTACTTGTAATGAGCCTCTGTCTTTTTAATTGGGTGGAAAACCTACTATCACAATATATGTAGTGAATTTTTTTTACGGGGATAACTAGTGTGCCAGCTGAAAGCTTTTGTGAAATGACCCAAATATCCATTGAGCAGGTCATCGTATGACTAGGATCAGCGTCAGCAAAAATTTATACATTTCTACTTACCCAAAACGAATAATACTCCTGATGCGCAAATTAGTAAATTATTCTTAAGTAACAGGGAAAGTACTACAATAAATATCATTTAATGAAGATGTCTGGCTGTTAGTGAATCCTAGAAAACTGAACGACCTTCCTCTTTCTTGACTTAAACCTGATAACTTCGGATATCCGAAGAGTTTTTCAGGTTTAATTGTTTAGTGCTCCCCTGAATGTAATAAAAACTTAAACGTGGATTAAGGACGAAAGAATAACAATAATTTACTTGGTTTATTCAGTAGCGCATGTGTCTGCTGGTGGAATGGAGTGAAATTAGCGCAAACCATACGAGAGTATGTACCCGGCACCTCAGCCAGGTACCTTCACTCACATCTCCCTTGTCAAACTTCATAGGTTCGAACCTAAGAACTTTACACACTTAAAACGACTCTCCAGACCCACATATTCTGCTATTTATTTACAACAAGATAATTATACAAAAACACTTATGCAGATATTCAGATGAACTTACAGACACATATATGATAAGCAAATTTATATATCTGCAATTTTAATGTTTTATTTTTAGGAACATCTTCTACGAGGTGTTGATCGCAGCTGGAACTGAACCAGCCATCAGCTACATCTTGGAAAAGATCAGCGACTTAAATTTCAGAAAAGCGCATGATCCAATTGCGCAAAATTTCTTCGACACTATTCATCTAAGCGTCAAGAATCCGCTGCTTGTTCCCAAAATCTTAGTAAGTTTCAGCTGAGGTCTGAAGGTGTTTTGAAGTGAAAAATCTGTCTGCTAAAACTACAGTTGAAATTGTCGAATGTTGCAAAGCGGATTCAAATTGCAATCTCATTTTGCATGTCTTTTCAAGGATGTTGTAAAAGAACTTTCTTGGGATGAGGATGACCAGGTGCTCGTAAGTACCGCCCTGCTGAACTTCGCTACGCTAGCCTACGAGCTGTGTCTTTCCTCTGACAAGCGGGAGGTGTTTAGTGACAATACTTGTGACTCGCAGCATACCTGTAACCCAGATATCGTCTTCGACAGCTACCTTCCAGCGTTGACACAAGGTGTACAGGTGAGCTATTTAGCATCTAAACCTCTTTGCTGCTCATTGGCAGTGAATGATAACTTTGTACATAAAAAATTATAAATGCTTATGATCTGGTGAGCTGTCACTCATTTTTCTTGCTCGTCAACGTCTTATTCTGAAAAAAAAAATTTTTTTGTTCCAATATTTTTAATTCTTAGACTAATGAAAGACGTTTTTCTTTTCTTTTTCAAGTTTCTAACATATTTCTTATTTCCAGGATGAGGAATTCCCTGTGTGGATAAGACTCGTGTACCTCCAAGCTCTTATAAATCTACGCACTCCTCAGACAATAGACGTTCTGAAGCCTATCGCCCTTGGAACCAAAAACGAGAACATTATCCTAAGGGTAAATGCTATCGTGGGCCTGAGTGGTGTCTACGTTCCCAGAACTGCTTATAATGTGGTAAGACATACCTCCTTCTTAGATAAAATGAATACTGAATTGTTTCATACTGTTTATTATAATTAATCATCTAGAAGCATATGATGCAAGCCTCTTTCTCACCTGATAAAATAAATTGCATAATATTGTTCTAAAACATTAAATGAATTTTCATTTCGTTAATATTTGATGGAGGATATAATTAAGATGTCTCACTCAGGCATTCGACATCCTGATGCCAGTATTTGAGAATATTGGAGAAAACACTGAAGTTCGCATAGCTGCCTTCATGGCCTTGTCATTCACGAATCCCAGCATTGGTTGGTGGACACGAGTAGCGGTCTCTACCTGGCACGAACCATCCTCCCAAGTGGCCAATTACGTCTCTGCTTCCATTACCGCTCGTGCTCATGGTACCTCTCCCGTGTAAGTGCCCAGAGCTATGGATTACAGTCCTATTATTAAAAACAAAGCCCAGTTATGCACTAAATGAATATATTCAAATGCAGTTTACGAAGAGGTTCAATGGTTTCACTAAAAGTTCCAAGAACTATTAATAGTCGCCTCCTAGTCGTGTCATGACCTAAATCTCGCATCAGTAAATAGTAATATCAGTCAGTCTCTGATTCGTGGCTTAGCTTTTTAATCTATCCTTAACAGTTTCTGATTATCTTTTAATATACCAATGAAGATCAAAATTATTATGAATCATTGTTATTGTTGTCATTTACTACGAACCGAGGATGAAGTAACAGATGGCTATGTTTGTTACCACAAATTTTCAGGCGTCTATAAAGATGTGAGTTACAGCACTAAATTTGAATAGTGAGTATATATGAAAGAAAACCATTTCAATGTCTGAGTTAATATAAAAACTTATAATTTTATTGAAGTCTCAAAGATTAAATTGTCGGTGTTCGAGTGGCTCTTGATTTTGGCCTCCAGATGTAACTATTTCTGTGGATGCAAATGGTTTATTACCCCTTCCCAGTGAAAAGACTGCATAACATTAAAAGCAATTAGATTTTTTTTTTACTGTGCCCTGAAAAAATATCGGTACATATGGATTATACAATATCTAAGTGCTGCTGATGTTTATTTTTCAGGGTCTCAGATTCTACATTTGTTTCTTAGTTTCAAAAAAATTTCATTTATAGTATTCCACACGTTTACCAATGTTGCATTTATGGTACTTTGTATGTCCACAAGCAATGCATTTATAGTTCTTCTAAAGGCCCAGAAATGACTCAATAAATCGTAATGACACGATTGCAAACAAACCATACCACGGGTGGGGTTTGAACCCGCGGTCAGAGAGTCTTAAATCTCCAGACCGTCGCGTAAGCCACTGGGCCAGCTAGCTTCAATAAGATTCATCCAACTAGGTATATTTCTACACCATAGGAAGGTTAGCATAGGCACCACTGTGTCCACAAATGCAAGTTTTTTACAAATGAATCTCCCGGTAGCTTGGCTGTGACGAACTCTAGCTCAGGTTCCGTCAAAGCCGTCAACATGACGGCCCAGAAATGTTACAGCTTTGGTACTTCTCATGTCCAGAAACATTGTAGTTATGATGCTTCACTGGCTCAGAAATGTTACATTTATGGTACTTCCGACGTCCAGGAAGATTGTATTCATTACGCTTCAAAGGTCCAACAACAACAACAACAACAACAACAGATACTGTCATTTCTCAGTGTCTGAATCATTGTACTTTACCCTCAGGTCCAAGAATGCTGCTCGTGTGGTTCACCTGATCAAACCTCCAGTCACTCTCTCCCTCAGTCACTCTGCTAGTATTTTCTTCCAAGACATTCTCAGCAATTGTGAGGTAAGAAAAAAAAAGTTTTCAAAAATATTCAAATTTCATGAATAGAAAGATACGATAAGTCATTAACAGTAATAAGTGAATGCAAATATATTCAAATCTCATAAATAGAAAGATATGAAAATCCATTTACAGTCATGGTGAATAATTATTTAAATATAAATTATATAAATATTTATAGTCAGTGTTTGTTCTACTTGTGATACTAGAATGCTTAAAGAAAGATTTTTATAATGGATACAACGTTGAGTATACACACACACACACACACACACACACACACATATATATATATATATATATATATATATATATATATATATATATATATATATATATATATATATATATATAATATATATATATATATATATATATATGAGGTAGTAGGTTGGTAGACAGCAACCACCCAGGGAATTACTACCGTCCTGCCAGATGACTGTGAAACAGAAACCTGTAACTGTTTTGCATGATGGTAGGATTGCTAGTGTCTTTTTCTGTCTCATAAACACGCTAGATAACAGGGATATCTTGCTACTCCAACTTACACTTTGGTCACACTTCACAGACATGCACATGCATATATATATATATATATACATCTAGATTTTTCTCCTTTTTCTACATAGCTCTTGTTCTTCTTTATTTCTTCTATTGTCCATGGGGAAGTGGAAAAGAATCTTTCCTCCGTAAGCCATGCGTGTCGTATGAGGCGACTAAAATGCCGGGAGCAATGGGCTAGTAACCCCTTCTCTTGTAGACATTTACTAAAAAAGAGAAGAAGAAAAACTTTATAAAACTGGGATGCTTGAATGTGCGTGGATGTAGTGCGGATGACAAGAAACAGATGATTGCTGATGTTATGAATGAAAAGAAGTTGGATGTCCTGGCCCTAAGCGAAACAAAGCTGAAGGGGGTAGGGGAGTTTTGGTGGGGGGAAATAAATGGGATTAAATCTGGAGTATCTGAGAGAGTTAGAGCAAAGGAAGGGGTAGCAGTAATGTTGAATGATCAGTTATGGAAGGAGAAAAGAGAATATGAATGTGTAAATGCAAGAATTATGTGGATTAAAGTAAAGGTTGGATGCGAGAAGTGGGTCATAATAAGCGTGTATGCACCTGGAGAAGAGAGGAATGCAGAGGAGAGAGAGATTTTGGGAGATGTTAAGTGAATGTATAGGAGCCTTTGAACCAAGTGAGAGAGTAATTGTGGTAGGGGACCTGAATGCTAAAGTAGGAGAAACTTTTAGAGAGGGTGTGGTAGGTAAGTTTGGGGTGCCAGGTGTAAATGATAATGGGAGCCCTTTGATTGAACTTTGTATAGAAAGGGGTTTAGTTATAGGTAATACATATTTTAAGAAAAAGAGGATAAATAAGTATACAAGATATGATGTAGGGCGAAATGACAGTAGTTTGTTGGATTATGTATTGGTAGATAAAAGACTGTTGAGTAGACTTCAGGATGTACATGTTTATAGAGGGGCCACAGATATATCAGATCACTTTCTAGTTGTAGCTACACTGAGAGTAAAAGGTAGATGGGATACATTTAGAATAGAAGCATCAGAGAAGAGAGAGGTGAAGGTTTATAAACTAAAAGAGGAGGCAGTTAGGGAAAGATATAAACAGCTATTGGAGGATAGATGGGCTAATGAGAGCATAGGCAATGGGGTCGAAGAGGTATGGGGTAGGTTTAAAAATGTAGTGTTAGAGTGTTCAGCAGAAGTTTGTGGTTACAGGAAAGTGGGTGCGGGAGGGAAGAGGAGTGATTGGTGGAATGATGATGTAAAGAGAGTAGAAAGGGAGAAAAAGTTAGCATATGAGAAGTTTTTACAAAGTAGAAGTGATGCAAGGAGGGAAGAGTATATGGAGAAAAAGAGAGAGGTTAAGAGAGTGGTGAAGCAATGTAAAAAGAGAGCAAATGAGAGAGTGGGTGAGATGTTATCAACAAATTTTGTTGAAAATAAGAAAAAGTTTTGGAGTGAGATTAACAAGTTAAGGAAGCCTAGAGAACAAATGGATTTGTCAGTTAAAAATAGGAGAGGAGAGTTATTAAATGGAGAGTTAGAGGTATTGGGAAGATGGAGGGAATATTTTGAGGAATTGTTAAATGTTGATGAAGATAGGGAAGCTGTGATTTCGTGTATAGGGCAAGGAGGAATAACATCTTGTAGGAGTGAGGAAGAGCCAGTTGTGAGTGTGGGGGAAGATCGTGAGGCAGTAGGTAAAATGAAAACGTGTAAGGCAGCCGGGATTGATGGGATAAAAATAGAAATGTTAAAAGCAGGTGGGGATATAGTTTTGGAGTGGTTGGTGCAATTATTTAATAAATGTATGGAAGAGGGTAAGGTACCTAGGGATTGGCAGAGAGCATGCATAGTTCCTTTGTATAAAGGCAAAGGGGACAAAAGAGAGTGCAAAAATTATAGGGGGATAAGTCTGTTGAGCATACCTGGTAAAGTGTATGGTAGAGTTATTATTGAAAGAATTAAAAGTAAGACTGAGAATAGGATAGCAGATGAACAAGGAGGCTTTAGGAAAGGTAGGGGGTGTGTGGACCAGGTGTTTACAGTGAAACATATAAGTGAACAGTATTTAGATAAGGCTAAAGAGGTCTTTGTGGCATTTATGGATTTGGAAAAGGCGTATGACAGGGTGGATAGGGGGGCAATGTGGCAGATGTTGCAGGTGTATGGTGTAGGAGGTAGGTTACTGAAAGCAGTGAAGAGTTTTTACGAGGATAGTGAGGCTCAAGTTAGAGTACATAGGAAAGAGGGAAATTATTTCCCAGTAAAAGTAGGCCTTAGACAGGGATGTGTGATGTCGCCGTGGTTGTTTAATATATTTATAGATGGGGTTGTAAGAGAAGTAAATGCGAGGGTCTTGACAAGAGGCGTGGAGTTAAAAGATAAAGAATCACACATAAAGTGGGAGTTGTCACAGTTGCTCTTTGCTGATGACACTGTGCTCTTGGGAGATTCTGAAGAGAAGTTGCAGAGATTGGTGGATGAATTTGGTAGGGTGTGCAAAAGAAGAAAATTGAAAGTGAATACAGGAAAGAGTAAGGTTATGAGGATAACAAAAATATTAGGTGATGAAAGATTGGATATCAGATTGGATATCAGATTGGAGTATGGAGGAAGTGAATGTATTCAGATATTTGGGAGTGGACGTGTCAGCGGATGGGTCTATGAAGGATGAGGTGAATCATAGAATTGATGAGGGGAAAAGGGTGAGTGGTGCACTTAGGAGTCTGTGGAGACAAAGAACTTTGTCCTTGGAGGCAAAGAGGGGAATGTATGAGAGTATAGTTTTACCAACACTCTTATATGGGTGTGAAGCATGGGTGATGAATTTTGCAGCGAGGAGAAGGCTGGAGGCAGTGGAGATGTCATGTCTGAGGGCAATGTGTGGTGTGAATATAATGCAGAGAATTCGTAGTTTGGAAGTTAGGAGGAGGTGCGGGATTACCAAAACTGTTGTCCAGAGGGCTGAGGAAGGGTTGTTGAGGTGGTTCGGACATGTAGAGAGAATGGAGCGAAACAGAGTGACTTCAAGAGTGTATCAGTCTGTAGTGGAAGGAAGGCGGGGTAGGGGTCGGCCTAGCAAAGGTTGGAGGGAGGGGGTAAAGGAGGTTTTGTGTGCGAGGGGCTTGGACTTCCAGCAGGCGTGCGTGAGCGTGTTTGATAGGAGTGAATGGAGACGAATGGTTTTTAATACTTGACGTGCTGTTGGAGTGTGAGCAAAGTAACATTTATGAAGGGGTTCAGGGAAACCGGCAGGCCGGACTTGAGTCCTGGAGATGGGAAGTACAGTGCCTGCACTCTGAAGGAGGGGTGTTAATGTTGCAGTTTAAAAACTGTAGTGTAAAACACCGTTCTGGCAAGACAGTGGAGTGAATGATGGTGAAAGTTTTTCTTTTTCGGGCCACCCTGCCTTGGTGGGAATCGGCCAGTGTGATAATAAAAAATAAATAAATAAATATATATATATATATATATATATATATATATATATATATATATATATGTATATATATATATATATATATATATATATATATATATATATATATATATATATATATATATATATATATATATATCGTGCCGAATAGGTAAAATTGGTCAATTAGGAAGAACTCATTTAAAATTAAGTCCTTTCTAAAATTTTCACTTATACGTTTAAAGATACTTTTTTTTAATTTTTGTTAAGGTAAAAATTAATAATTTTGTGCCAAAAGCACCTTAGAAAACTTATCTAACCTCATTATAACAAGCGCAATTTAATTTAGCCTAATCTAACTAAATATATTTTAGATAAGTTTGTAATAATTTAATAATTAACAAACAATGAAACATATTTCTTCGTTAGGTTCAGAACGATTTATGCAAGGTTATTGCATACAGAAATTTTCGTTTGCCTTATTCGGCAAGAAGAGCGTTGCTATTTAAGACAAAATTGCAATTTTTGCCTATTCGGCACGACATATGTATACATGTATATAATAGTAATTTTATTTCTTTTATTAATTCGCAGGTGGACGCAGTCTTGTCCATCGGCTGGCTGACAAGTGCCAAGGGTCTCTTCCCGTCAAAGGTCTTTTTACGTCTGACGATGAAAACCTTCTTCGGTTTCAGCGAAGAAACGAAAGTAGGTGTTTAATACATATATAATTAGAGTCGTTCCCTTCTACTTAGCTCGTTCTTCATATTAAAAACCTTAGTAGCTTTTGAACAGCTAACATTAATTATGAAAGCCTCGTTTTGAACAGCCTCCAAGTGTCGGAGAGAATATTCTCTCAGCAAACATTATCGTAGGATCAGTATAAACAATTATGATTTTACCATGATATTATGTACATTATTCTCACTGGCGTCTTATATAGCTGCAGCTCTAAGAGCATTCAACTTATCTTTTGTATTTCTTATTTAGTTGAGGCAATGTGGAGCGAACACAAAGCAATAATTTTTAACCTGTTGATTTTCTCTCCAGGCGCAAATTGGCCAAGGTGAGATCAATGCACTTATCAGGAGATTATACGGACTTCTTCAGATAGAAAGTCACAAGGATGCGAGAGGCACCGAAGGGGAAATCGTTCAAGAAATGTTTGGTGAGATCTTGGTAAGTTAATAAAGGTTTCGAAGGGAGGAGGAGAGGGATCATATATTTTTTTTTTCAAAGAATTAGTAAATATTTTTTAGAAAGAAATTTAAATAGGCTTTTGAATGTACCGTAAGTACGTTTTTTTTCAGGTTTGCAGATAGATGCTATAATAGGGCTTATTTATAATTAACTTTAAATAATATTAAAAATAATTTAAACTGGCCTATGATTATTTATATATATATATATATATATATATATATATATATATATATATATATATATATATATATATATATATATACAGTCATAGTGAATAATTTGACCGAAATGCTCTGCATAATTAGCGGCTTTCTATGTAGTAGTATGTCATTGATGTCAGCTAGGCACATGTAGTTGTAGAAATAAAGATATGATTATTATTATTATTATTATTATTATTATTATTATTATTATTATTATTATTATTATTATTATTATGTAACGGTGCCTTGTCATTATTTTGTGTTAGACCTATGTTCTCTCGACCTGTTCTACACAGCCACGTATGTGTTCGCATTAGGGGTAACATTTCCAGTGATTCTTGGTATCTGATGTTTGAAGCATTGATGGCCAAGTGGACTAAGGAGTTTCTCGGAAATTTATATATATATATCTTTCTATGTATTACAATACTGCTACCAGCCGGGAACCGAACCTGCAATATTCTAGCACGCATCCCGACGAGAAGCCCGCCAAATTTCCGAGACTCCTTAGTCCACTTGGCCATCAATGCTTCAAACATCAGATATCAAGAATCACTGGACATGTTACCCCTAATGCGAGCACATACGTGGCTGTGTAGAACAGGTCCAGAGAACATAGGTCAAACACAAAATAATGACAAGGCACCGTTACATAATAATACTAATAATAATAATAATAATGATAATAATAATAATGATAATAATACTATCTTTATTTCTGCAACTACATGTACAAGGTATACAGGCCTAGTTGACGTCAATGACATACTACTACATAGAAATCCACTTGTTATGCTGAGTATTTCGAGCAAATTAGGTCAGTTTTGTCCCAGGATGCGACTCACACCAGTCGACTAACTCTCAGGTGCCCATTTAACTGATCTGGAGCATAGACAACCGGTGTAGAGAAACACGTCTAATGTTTCTACCCTCATCAGGAATCGAATCCGGACCCTCGCCGTGTGAAGCGAGAGCTTTAGCCATCAGGCCACGGGGCACCGTATAGGGATTTTGTATAGCACCCTTATTAAAGATTGTATACAGTTGACTACTAAATAGCACACACAATTTTAAACAAGGGTGCTTTACAGAATCGCCAGTTTGCTCTGGCTTGTTTTGCTTCTGGTCTGGTTGCCAAAGATTTGAATCCACTCTGAGTGTCAAGTCATAAGAAAGACACACGATAGGATAATCACTTAGTGTACTCAGGGGCGGTGGTAGGCAGGTTCTTCTGGGAAAATAGTTACCTTGCTTTACAGTGTAGCCGTCTAAATACCTCTATTGTTTTTCTTGTTATTAATGTGTTTTGTTTTATTTGTGTAATAATAATAATAATGATAATAATTATTATAATTATTATTATTATTATTATTATTATTATTATTATTATTATTATTATTATTATTATTATTATTATTATTTTTATTATTATTATTATTATTGGTAGAATGAGTAGGAGTAGTAGTAATATTATTCAATATTTTTGTGTTAACAGGAGCAGCTGGGTTTCGCTCACACGGCTACAAAATCAGACCTGATGATTTATCTGAAGCTTATGGACACCGTCGTCGCTCTTCCAATCCTAAAAGACTATACTCGTATGTACTTTCATTTCTTCCAGTAATTGTTGCTGCTTGGTTGCTACATCTCTGTAGTTTAGGCTGAGGTTAACTTCTTTAATACTGGCATGTACGAAGGGTCAACATTGGATTTTGTTTTCATTTGTGATCTTTCATCTACATTTAGTGTATATTCACTCCTTTATCACTGTCGATTCTTCTCTTTTATTATTTTTTTTTTTGTACACAGGGTTTGACAATGTTAGGTTAAAGATCCCCAGCTTCATTGAGAAGCTATTTACTGGTTAAGGATTCCTAACTTTATTGGCAAGCTAAGAGCTGTTACCTACATCATCTCATTTGAAAGCATTTTTATTATTATGAGACTTACAAGTAGGGAACAGGATAAAGTTGGAGCCATCTGTGGGCCAGCATTTTCATTTGATCAACTGACTATCTCGTTGACATCATAATGCTGTACGAATGTGTTCCATACTCGAGTCATCCTGGGGATAAATGATCTCAGATGAAGTGATGTTCTGGTGAAGGGTACAGCCAGAGTGAAGTTGCTATCTGCCCGTCTTGTGGTATAGAATCTTGCCTCACGCTGTCCTCGAAGTGAATCGTCTAAGGTCATGTTGACTAATTATTCGTCTATAAAACCTTCGTAATTAAAACACGAACATCTTCACTAATCTTTTATGTAGCATGAGGGAACAAAGTAGGGATCAGAGAGTATGTTGCTTCCATATCTCTAAGGCTTTGTATACGATATTTAATTCCTACGATATTACAAAAATTCCCTGTCCAGACATTTAGAATCAAAATTTAAAAATATTTTACTATCTTCCCTGAATTCCACATGCAACACTTTTGGCAAAAAACGAAAATAAAGTCGTGAAGTTTGATTTTTCTCTACCGAGAAGACGGCTTCCTGGAAATAAAATTACATCTAGGCAACTAGACATTGTTACAAAATAGAATAATTTGAAAAGTCATAACAAGAAACATATCTTCCTTTCCGGAAAGTAAATTATTAATCACCTTAGCATCTTAACATTACACTGTAAAACAACAACCCTGTTGATCCGGATCACAATGGCATTCATACTGATGATCTCATTAAAAAATGCTCTTCTTTAGTTTGTTAGAACTGATTTGTGTAAGCAAAAAAAAAAAAAAATAAAAATAAAAAAAAATACGCAAATCAAATTATTATATAAACTTGCAAATTATTTTAAGGTTCCCCGAAATGCTCTGCATAACAATGAACTTTCCATAAAGCAATTTATACCTGTTAATTAATCCAGTGTCAGTTTTATACTATATTGTATACTATATTCTATACTATATTCTATACTATATTCTATACTATATTCTATACTATATTCTATACTATATTCTATACTATATTCTATACTATATTCTATACTATATTCTATACTATATTCTATACTATATTCTATACTATATTCTATACTATATTCTATACTATATTCTATACTATATTGGATAGAAATAAAGTGGTCACTGTCATCAATATAAGAGCAAAAGGGACATTTGTCACAAGATCCTGAAGTGTGAGAGACCACAGTAATATATTTAAAAAAAATGTAAAGTAAGAAAAAAAAATTTTATTATTTTGAAGTGAATTTAGGAAAAAGCATATAATGAATTATTACGAATAATTAGAAGTATGAGCAGATTTTAAAGCATAAATATAATACAGACGCTGTGAATATCACTTTTTTTTTTTAATTCCTCACCGAATCTAAATTATTTTTTCTCCTCACAGAGGTCATTCAAGCGGCAGTAACATCGGTGAAAGACAGCTTTCCTCACACGGGGAGAGAAACTGACTTCTCCCTGGTAGTGCCTACCGACCTTGGTCTACCTTTCATAATCGAGGTGAGCGCTTCTCTGATTTATCTGGTAACAAATGGTTACAAAGGGTCTTGACTGACACCATGGCCTTTGCCAGATGTTTTTTTTGCTCCAGGGTCTTGACTGCCGTTGTACTTCTAACAGATATTCGTGACTCAGTCTCGACCAGCAGTTTATAGTACAAGTGGCAGAAGTTGGGCAGTATTACAACATCCTTATACTTCACTGTGTCAGTTTTCTTCCCTTACAAACAGTTTATATTTAGTACAGAATATACAAATCGTTATATAACAGACCTTGTTCCTTTTCATGGAGGATTTCAAGGCAATGTTTTTTTTATTCTTTGGCTGTCCCATCAAGAGAGCTACATTTATGTCAGGGAGGAGCTCTTGATGCAAGGAACTGGATCTGTCCTTCCCTTCTGTGATCGAACCTCATTGCTGCCTATTTTCACAGGCGCTGCATGATTACTGCTGGTTCAGCCCATCCCCTTAAATATATTAATATAAAAATAATATTTCTTGACTTGTGCCTCTGATTAGGTCATAGTACAGCACTGAAATCTAGTTATATTTTTGCTAATGGAAAAGACACTTTTCATGATTTGGTTTTCTCTCGTTTATTTACAGTACACTTCAGATTATTCGTACTGGATTGACGGAACGTCAACGGGTACCCAGTTACGTCCTGCTAAGACTAAAAGTACCTTCACATTTATATTCGAGTAAGTTAAATCTATTTTAAGTGTATCTCAGTTGCATGTTTCACTGGTATATTAATTGTCTCTACCTGAAATTAAACATGAAATGAGGTTATTACATTATATAATCTTTATTAGCCATTATTTAACATTCGGTTAGTTACGTGTTTTCATCTTGTGTACAGTGAGCCAATATTAACATTTTTCTATAGCAATGCATGCAAATTTAACATATATATATATATATATATATATATATATATATATATATATATATATATATATATATATATATATATATATATATACATGTGTGTGTGTGTGTGTTAGTTACCATTTTGTCCTAGGCACATGTCGATTAGACACTAGGCCTGTTGTATATGCGTGTGTGTTGTATATGTTGTATATGCGTGTGTGTGTACTCACCTATTTGTACTCACCTATTTGCGATTGCAGGGGTCGAGACTCAGCTCCTGGCCCCGCCTCTTCACGGACCGCTACTAGGTCCTGTCTCTCCCTGCTCCATGAGCTTTATCATACCTCTTCTTAAAACTACACTACATCCACTACTTAACTTGCCAGACTTTTCCACTTCCTTAAACTCTACGGCTGAAGAAATGTGTGTGTGTACATTTATATATATATATATATATATATATAAATATATATATATATATATATATATATATATATATATATATATATATATATATATATATATATATGTGTGTGTGTGGTGTGTGTTGTGTGTGTAAAAACACCCATGCAAATACTGTACATAATTTAAAGTTGCGTTACTCTTTCGTTTCATTAGAGTGAGCGTAGACAAAACCCTTCTCACCAAGACGCTTCTCCCGTGGTCAAATAAATTCGCCGTCGGGGCTGGAGTGCACAATGCACACGCCGTGATTTTACCTCTTAAGGGTTACTTTGTACTTGATACTCTAAAACATGAGATCAAATTGTCTATCGAGGCGCAGCACAGCAGCAAGGTATGATATGAATGCACTACAGATGCTCGGTTATAGAAAACTAAGTTCTCGACACCCTAGAATAAGTTATTTATAATTTAAAATATATTTCCTATCTCCAGTAAGGAGTTTTGCTCTCTGGAATAAATTCTCTGCTTCCAAGAATAAATTTTCGTTTACTTAGATTAAGCCTCTTGCATGGTATAATAAGCTTCTTATTCTCTTGAATTAGCCGGTTTACATTGGAGAAAATTAGGAAACCACTACAGCAGTTTTTTGAGTTCATTGGAATTTTAATATTAATTATAAGCAAAGTTAAACTCCGTAATACTCACTCTGGTAAGTGCTGCGTCCATTCCTAGCTAAGTAGATGTATAACTGTATAAAGTGCTTTCTTAAATTCTTTCTCCACTACAGTAAATGAGACTTCACATTTCATAAATAGCTTTGATAACTGATTTTCAGGTACACAAAAATTTAGATGACAGGTGAGAAATCACTGTGACAGAAAAATGAAACACTGTTAAAAGAACCAGTCCTCTGGGGCATTGACCCCGGGAACACCCTCCAGGTAGGCAAATAAGTACTTGTATATGACAAAGTCAATCAGACACCCCTCTTCAGCCAAAATATACATACATCTATGTGTTTCATTTTTCTGTCGAAATACTTTTATCACTTCATCGTTCACTACTTGACTCCTTAATCTAGGCAAAAATTAAGATATTAATCCTGTTTTGTTTTCCAGGTTCTATTGAAAAATTCTCACAACTTCCCATACACTGTGGTGACCGGGCCCTTCCCCACTGCTCTACACCCTCAACAAAGTGATTACAAGAAGATCAGGATTACTAAAGAGGAGACCTTCCAGGTGAGAACCATTACTGGGAATTCTCAGAATATCTCAACAACAAATGAATATGCCCTAGACCCTGTAACTCCATACATATATAATTAAAATAAGAAAATATCCACTTCATGTTCCTGATTGTGTCTGCATGCAGTAACGTTGTTTACTTATTGGGGAAAAGGAAGATTTAAAGAAGTACGAAGTGTGAAAAGGTTATGGGCAGATAGATGGAGGAAGTTGAAAAAAACTTTAAGCGTTGACATTCCCGGTGCGGCTCTCACCTCGTACAGTGTTCAGTTTTTGAGGGGGCCCCAAGTCGAGGTATTCCTCTTGGTTTTTGAATCCCTTCCCTTTCTTAGGTCTGCTGAAGTATTTGTATTCAATTCACTGTTCTTTTGTGTAATCTATCATGGAGGTCTTATGCATTCAGTGTTTGGTACTGGGCGATGGGTGGTAGTAATGGTCGTCTCACTGTTATGTTCATCCTGTTGGAGGCTGTTGCTGTGGGTAGTTTGCTGGAGGTTGCCTCTGTTGTTGACGAGACTTCAGGAGCCTGTTGATTGCTTATTTTGTGGCACTGTAATTTCTGGGAGATTGTTTAAGAGGAATTCCTCTTTGGCTGTTGTGTTGAAGGATCCTGGGCCAGTTACAATATGTCCATTAGTTTCCTTTTGGAGTTTGGGCTGCTTTTTGATGACTTGTAAGATCTTCTGCTTATTATTGTAAAATTAGGTTCTTTTTGCAGTGGTGAAGTTTCTGGTCATGTTGAGGTATTTCTTGGTTTCTTCTTTTTCTTCCTGTTCGCGAAGTCTTCACTTATGGAACACTTAGCTGCTAGTGTACCGTAGCCACCTGTACAGTTACGTCCTATTCATGAGGCTTTGCTTTTTTGCAATAATTGAAGGTATAATATTCCTCTGCACATTTAGAGAAGAATTTCCTGCTTTTTTTCCGGATTACATAGTGTAGTAGTTCTAGCAAGGGTTAAGTTGTAATGTTCGTCTTTTCTTTGGTCCTTTGGATGTATGTGGCAGTGGGAGATTTTGACTCCATCTTGCGAGATTGGTAAACCTTGAATATTTCCTTCAACATGATCATCATAACACAAGGTACGTTGCATAACATTATAATTTTCTCTACTTTGGCCTATGAATTTTGATTTTCAGTGTCAGATTAAAGGTTTTATTTCATTTGTTTGCCGAGGTCTGCATCCAAACTTGTCAAGATCGTTTTCTCGGGTTTCAGTGAAGGTGACAGTATAACTTCATGTTCTTGTTTTATAGTAGCTTCATATCAGGAGATACAATGATTAGAACGATATAAGCATTGCGAGCATTGTTGAAACAATTAGCAATGAATGAGCCTTTGACAGGTTGAAGGTTATTGGGTAAAGTGGTGGCCAGTGTTTGGATTATTACTACTATTACAATCAAAAACTAAGCTGTAAACTACCATGTCATACAGCTCTGTGTGTTTGTATTAATCTCCTGTTGTTTGCTCCACTTATCGGTTTGATTCTAACTTTGTGTGCTTGCATGGTGCTGGTATCTCCGGCCACACGGGAATGGCAAAGAGAACATTTCTAATAGGAGGATATATGGCTAAACTGTGAAATGGGAAGATATATGGCAACACTGTCAAGTCTGTTTGATTGTAATGGTGATGAAAAATCAACCAATTTTATTATCTTACGTTACATGACTTTCTCAGCCATATGACATGGATTAACGATGCTGGTTCTCTGTCTTCTCAGTGTTTTTTATTCTATCTCTTCTGTTTCCGTTTTCGCAGCGACATACTCAGGCGCTTCCAGATATTTATGGCATCTCCGTTGAGTCTTCATGGTCAGGAGACTTCGAGTTCCCATTAAATCTGCACAGTCTCAGGTAATTTCTGATTATTTTTACTGGGCATATTATACAATATATATATATATATATATATATATATATATATATATATATATATATATATATATATATTATATATATATATATATATGTGTGTGTGTGTATCAATATCAGCTCATTATTTCAGTGGTATCAATTATATTTAATTTTATGGAAAATATTCATACCTAATTTTTGTATAGAAAACCATTTATTTTTTATCAAATATATTATTTTCAGTCAAGATTTAGAACCGTTCACTCCATCTTACAAGAGCTGGATTACCGTCTTGAATGGGACCCTCAAGCCTCCACTACCAAGAGTATCACAATTACCCTAACATATGGTAAGTATTTTAAGTAATTTACGTAAACTTTTGCTGGTTTTTCGAAAACTCTAACATATGGGGTATATAATATATATATATATATATATATATATATATATATATATAATATATATATATATATATATATATATATATATATATATTCTTTCTTTCAACACACCGGCTGTATCCCATCGAGGCGGGGTGGCCCAAAAGGAAAAACAAAAGTTTCTCCTTTTACATTTAGTAATATATACAGGAGAAGAGGTTACTAGCCCCTTGCTCCCGGCATTTTAGTCACCTCTTACAACACGCATGGCTTACGGAGGAAAAATTTTGTTCCACTTTCCCATGGAGGTAAGAGGAAATAAACAAGAATAAGAACTAGAAAGAAAATAGAAGAAAACCCAGAGGGGTGTGTATATACGTATATGTTTGTACATGTATGTGTAGTGTGACCTAAGTGTAAGTAGAAGTAGCAAGACGTACCTGAAATCTTGCATGTTTATGAGACAGAAAAAAGGACACCAGCAATCCTACCATCATGTAAAACAATTACAGGCTTTCATTTTACACTCACTTGGCAGGACGGTATATATATATATATATATATATATATATATATATATATATATATATATATATATATATATATATATATATATATATATATATATATGCATATAATATTGTAACCACGAACGAGTGGTATTTAATCAAACTATAACACGGGTGGGGTTTGAACCCGCGGCCAGAGAGTCTCAAAACTCCAGGCCGACACGGTCTGGACTTTTGAGACTCTCTGACCGCGGGTTCAAACCCCACCCGTGGTATGGTTTGTTTGCAATCGCGTTTTTACGATTTCGTGAGTCATGGTATTTAATCAATAGCAAAACTGCGAATAGCCGGGGGATCGAACTCGTGTTGTTTTAGCCCTCCTCATGGTGATCGAAAATTCCACGACGCTTTAACCCACGGAACCATACAATCGTGCAAGAATCACACACCCAGCAGAACTAGGTGTTGTACCGTGATCCAAGGACATACGATGGTCAGGGTGCATCAGATCTAATTTCATTCTACTTCCCGTTTGGTGTACTAGCCTCCACAAGCAGTATATATAGTACTGTAACCACTAACGAATGGTATTTAATCAATAACAATTACCTCTGAAGCACCCATACAATCGTATGTCCTCGGATCACGATACAACACCTAGCTCTGCTGGGTGCGTGATTCATGTAAGATTGTTTGGTCCTGTGGGTTAGAGCATCGTGAATTTTCGCTCACAATGAGGCAGGCGATAACAACATGGGTTCGATACCCGGCTGGTCGCAGTGTTGTTAATGATTAAATACCACTCGTTCGTGGTTACAGTACTATATATACTGCTTGTGGAGGCTAGTACGCCAAACGGGGAGTAGAATGAAATTAACTCTGAGGCACCTACACCATTGTATGTCCTTGGATCACGGTACAACACCTAGATCTGCTGGGTGCATGACTCTTGTAGGATTGTATGGTCCCGTGGGTTAGAGCATTGCGGAAATTTCAATCACAATGAGGCGGGCGAAAACAACACGAGTTCGATCCTCCGGCTAGTCGCAGTGTTGATATTGATATATATATATATATATATATATATTATATATATATATATATATATATATATATATATATATATATATATATATATATATATATGTCGTGCCGAATATGTAAAACTGGTCAATTAGCAAGAACTCATTTAAAATTAAGCCCTATCTAAAATTTTCTCTAATACGTTTAAAGATATATTTTTTTTCATTAATGTTGATATAAAAATTTATAATTTTGCACCAAAAGGAACTTAGAAAACTTACCTAACCTTATTATAACAAGAACAATTTATTTTAGCCTTACCCAACTAAATATATTTTAAATTTGTTTACAATAATTTAATATTAAACAAACACAGTGAAATATATTTTTTTTCGTTGGGTTCAGAATGATTTTGGCGAAATTATTGCATACACAAATTTTCACTTGTCCTATATGGCAAGATGAGCGTTGCTATTTAAGCCAAGATCGCAAATTCTGCCTATTCGGCACGACATATATATATATATATATATATATATATATATATATATATATATATATATATATATATATATATATATATATATATATATATATATATATGAGAGTATATATATATGTATGAGAGTATAGTTTTACCAACGCTCTTATATGGGTGTGAAGCGTGGGTGATGAATGTTGCAGCGAGGAGAAGGCTGGAGGCAGTGGAGATGTCATGTCTGAGGGCAATGTGTGGTGTGAATATAATGCAGAGAATTCGTAGTTTGGAAGTTAGGAGGAGGTGCGGGATTACCAAAACTGTTGTCCAGAGGGCTGAGGAAGGGTTGTTGAGGTGGTTCGGACATGTAGAGAGAATGGAGCGAAACAGAATGACTTCAAGAGTGTATCAGTCTGTAGTGGAAGGAAGGCGGGGTAGGGGTCGGCCTAGAAAGGGTTGGAGGGAGGGGGTAAGGGAGGTTTTGTGTGCGAGGGGCTTGGACTTCCAGCAGGCATGCGTGAGCGTGTTTGATAGGAGTGAATGGAGACAAATGGTTTTTAATACTTGACGTGCTGTTGGAGTGTGAGCAAAGTAACATTTATGAAGGGATTCAGGGAAACCGGCAGGCCGGACTTGAGTCCTGGAGATGGGAAGTACAGTGCCTGCACTCTGAAGGAGGGGTGTTAATGTTGCAGTTTAAAAACTGTAGTGTAAAGCACCCTTCTGGCAAGACAGTGATGGAGTGAATGATGGTGAAGGTTTTTCTTTTTCGGGCCACCCTGCCTTGGTGGGAATCGGCCAGTGTGATAATAAATAAATATATATATATATATATATATATATATATATATATATATATATATAATGTCGTGCCGAATAGGTAAAGCTGGTCAATTAGTAAGAACTCATTTAAAATCAAGTCCTTTCTAAAATTTTCTCTTATACGTTTAAAGATATATTGTTTAATTTATGTTAATGTAAAAATTAATAATTTTGTATCCAAAGAATCTTAGAAAACTTACCTAACCATATTATACCAAGAGCAATTTGATTTAGCCTAATCCAACTAAATATATTTTAGATAAGTTTACATAATTTAATAATAAATAAACACGATGAAATATATTTTTTTCGTTAGGCTGATAAACTAATGTAATAAAAATATATAATAATTATAATAATAATAATAATAATAATAATAATAATAATAATAATAATAATAATAATAATAGCATTCTATATAACTCTTAACTACTTCTATTACCTTCCAGTGACTTCGGAGAGCTCAGGAGAATCAGAAGAGTTAGTGCAGGTGGGCCAAGAAACACAGGGAGCTGCCGACTTTGGTGACTTCTCACAGGTTTCTAATGGAGGAGAACAAGAGTTCCAGGAAGGATCTCGGGACTTCCAGGTAGGATCTCAAGACTTCCATATTGGATTGCATGACTTCCAGGTTTGGTCTCAAAGCTTCCATATAGGATTGCATGATTTCCAGGTAGGATCTCAAGATTTCCATATAGGATTGCATGACTTCCAGGTATGATCTCAAGACTTCAATATAGGATTGCATGACTTCCAGGTATAATCTCAACACGGTTTTACAAAGGGGCGTTTCTGTCTTATGAATTTACTAACTTTTTTCACTAAGGTGTTTGAGGAGGTAGATCATGGTAATGAACATGATATTGCGTATATGGACTTCAGTAAGGCTTTCGATAGAGTTCCACATCAGAAGCTATTGTGGAAACTTAAGGCACACTGAATAGGAGGAGAAATTTTTTTCTGGGTAGAGGCATGGTTGGCAAAAAGGCAGCAGAGAGTTTGCATAAATGGGGAGAAATCAGAATGGGGGCACGTCACAAGCGGTGTTCCTCAGGGGTCAGTGTTGGGTCCGTTGTTGTTCACAATTTACATAAACGACATAGATGAGGGAATAAACAGCTACATAAGCAAATTTGCTGATGACACCAAAATAGGCCGTCCAATTCCTTCTAATGAGGACATTAGAGCACTCCAGGATGATTTGAATAGACTGATGCAATAATTGGAGAAGTGGCAGATGCAGTTTAATATTGACAAATACAAAGTTCTAAATGTTGGACAGGAAAATACCCATGCCACATTTAAACTAAATAATGTAGATCTTAATACTACTGATTGCGAAAAAGATTTAGGAGTTCTGGTTAGCAGTAATCTAAAACCAAGACAACAGTGCATTAGTGTTCGCAATAAAGCTAACAGAATCCATGGCTTCATATCAAAAAGTGTAAATAATAGGTTGTTCTTCAACTCTATATATCCTTGGTTAGGCCTCATTTAGATTATGCTGCACAGTTCTGGTCACCGTATTACAGAATGGATATAAACGCTCTGGAAAACGTACAGAGGAGGATGACAAAGTTGATTCCATGCATCAGAAATCTTCCCTATGAGGATAGACTGAGGCCCTGAATCTGCACTCTCTAGAAAGGCGTAGAATTAGGGGGGATATGACTGAGGTGTATAAATGAAAAACAGGAATAAATAAAAGGGATAAAAATAGCGTGCTGAAAATTTCTAACAAAGACAGGACTCGCAGCAATGGTTTCAAGTTGAAAAAATTCAGATTCAGGTAAGATATAGGAAAGCACTGGTTTGGTAATAGAGTTGTGGATGAGTAGAACAAACTCCAGAGTACCGCCATAGAAGCGAAAATGGTGTGTAGTTTTAAAAATAAGTTAGATAAATATACATGAGTGGTTATGGGTGGGCGTGAGTTGGACCTGACTAGTTTGTGCTGCTAGGTCTGATGCCGTGCTCCATTCTTAAGTGTAAGTGACTTGACTAGGTGGGTGACATGGACCTGCTTCGCATGGGTCAATGGGCCTGCTGCCGTGATCCTTCTTTCTTATGTTCTTATATAGGATTGCATGACTTCCAGGTAGGATCTCAAGACTTCCTTGATGAATCAAAGAAATTCAAACTAGTTTCTTAATTCCTCAAGGTAGGATCTCAAGGCCTCTAAGTAGAATCCTAAGACTTCCCGAGAGGATTTCGAAAGAGGATTTCAAAACTTCCAGATAGGCTTTACAAACAGATTCAAAAAGCAAATGCTGTGTATTGAAGCTTGATCACTTCGGCTTTTAGAAACTTCAGAGTCTGGTTCAGGAGTTGGAACGTAGCCTACCACAAACTAAGCCAGGTAAATGTACACACACACACACACACACACACATATTGCGTATCAGTATTTAATAAAGATTTATAAATGTTCTCCCAACAGGAGATTGGTGACCTCGAGCTGGAAACGTTTGGACAGCAACAACAGCAGACAAACTATCGGCAGCGTATTGAAAAACTGCAGGAGGAAGTTATGCCTAGTAAGTAACTCTGCACTTTCTGACTTTTTACGTGTATTGCTTTAAGGCACATTTATTTCCCGATATGGTTCATTGTTTATCCAGCTGGGTTAATGCTCCTTTCTTCTGAGTGATTATTTTTTTCTTGTGTGTGGCTCCTTTTCTCTTCCTGATTTAACTTTTTTTATTACAGCTTTTTTATCTGTTGTGTCATTTTTTAATACCATTGTGAACCCAATTTCTTGCTGTACCTAATGACTTATCACTTACCTTATCATATATATATATATATATATATATATATATATATATATATATATATATATATATATATATATATATATATATATATATATATATATATATATATATTATTTCCAACAAACCGGTCGTATCCCACCAAGGGAGGGTGGCCCAAAAAGAAAAATGAAAGTTTCTCTTTTTAAATTTAGTAATTTATACAGGAAGGTGTTACTAGCCCCTTGCTCCCGGCATTTTATTCGCCTCTTACAACACGCATGGCTTACGGAGGAAGAATTCTGTTCCACTTCCTCATGGAGATAAGAGGCAATAAACAAGAACTAGAAAAAAAATGGAAGAAAATCCAGAGGGGTGTGTATATATATGCTTGTACATGTATGTGTGGTGTGACTTAAGTGTAAGAAGTAGCAAGATGTACCTGAAATCTTGCATGTTTATGAGACAGAGAAAAGGACACCAGCAATCCTACCATCATGTAAAACAATTACAGGATTTCGTTTTACACTCACTTAGCAGGACGGTAGTACCTCCCTGGACGGTTGCTGTATACCAACCTACTACCTAGAATATATATATATGTCGGGCCGAATATGTAAAACTCGTCAATTAGCAAGAACTCATCTAAAATTAAGTCCTTTCTGAAAATTTCATTTATACGTTTAAAGATATATTTTTTTCATTAATGTTAATGTAAAAAAATTTATTTTTGGAATAAAAGAATCATAGAAAACCTACCTAACCTTATTATAACAAGCTCAATTTATTTTAACCTAATCCCACTAAATATGTTTTAAATACGTTTTCAGTAATTTAATATTAAACAAACACAATGAAATATATTTTTTTTCGTTAGGTTCAGAATGAATTTTTGCGAAATTATTGCATACACAAATTTTCGCTTGTCCTATATGGAGATGAGCGTTGCTATTTAAGCCAAGATCGCAAGTTCTGCCTATTCGGCACGACATATATATATATATATATATATATATATATATATATATATATATATATATATATATATATATATGTATATATATATATATATATATATATATATATATATATATATATATATATATTTATATATATATATATATATATATATATATATATATATATATATATATATATATATATATATATATATATATATAATGTCGTGCCGAATAGGCAGAACTTGCGATCTTGGCTTAAATAGCAACGCTCAATTTGCCATATAGGAAAAGCGAAAATTTGTGTATGCAATAATTTCGACAAAATCATTCTGAACCTAACGAAAAAAATATATTTCACAGTGTTTGTTTGGTATTAAATTACTGTAAACAAATCTAAAATATATTTAGTTGAGTTACGCTAAAATAAATTGCTCTTGTCATAATAAGGTTAGGTAAGTTTTCTAAGTTCCTTTTGGTGCAAAATTATAAATTTTTACATCAACACTAATGAAAAAAATATATCTTTAAACGTATAAGAGAAAATTTTAGAATGGGCTTAATTTTAAACGAGTTCTTGCTAATTGACCAGTTTTACATATTCGGCACGACATATATATATATATATATATATATATATATATATATATATATATATATATATATATATATATATATATATATATGTCGTGCCGAATATGTAAAACTGGTCAATTAGCAAGAACTAATTTAAAATTAAGTCCTTTCCGAAATTTTCTTTCATATGTTTAAAGATATATTTTTTTCATTAACGTTAATGTAAAAAATTATAATTTTGCACCAAAAGAATCTTAGAAAACTTACCTAACCTTATTATAGAAAGAGCAATTTATTTTAGCCTAACCCAACTAAATATATTTTAGATTTGATTACTGTAATTTAATACTAAACAAACACAGTGAAATATATTTTTTTCGTTGGGTTCAGAATGATTTTGGCGAAATTACTGCATACACAAATTTTCACTTGTCCTATATGGCAAGATGAGCGTTGCTATTTAAGCCAAGATCGCAAGTTCTGCATATTCGGCACGACATTTATATATAAGATATATATATATATATATATATATATATATATATATATATATATATATATATTATATTATATATATATATATATATATATACGTGTGTGTGTATGTGTGTATGTGTATGTGTGTGTGTGTGTGTGCGTGTGTGTGTGTGTGTATGTGTATGTGTGTGTGTGTGTGTGTGCGTGTGTGTGCGTGTGTGTGTGTGTGTTTGTATGTGTATGTGTGTGTACTCACCTAGTTGTACTCACCTAGTTGAGGTTGCAATGGTCGAGTCCAAGCTCCTGGCCCCCGCCTCTTCACTGGTCGCTACTAGGTCACTCTCCCTGAACCATGAGCTTTATCGTACCTCTGCTTAAAGCTATGTATGGATCCTGCCTCCACTACATCGCTTCCCAAACTATTCCACTTCCTGACTACTCTGTGGCTGAAGAAATACTTCCTAACATCCCTTTGATTCATCTGTGTCTTCAGCTTCCAACTGTGTCCCCGTGTTGCTGTGTCCAGTCTCTGGAACATCCTGTCTTTGTCCACCTTGTCAATTCCTCTCAGTATTTTGTAAGTCGTTATCATGTCCCCCCTATCTCTCCTGTCCTCCAGTGTCGTCAGGTTGATTTCCCTTAACCTCTCCTCATAGCACATACCTCTTAACTCTGGGACCAGTCTTGTTGCAAACCTTTGCACTTTCTCTAGTTTCTTTACATGCTTGGCTAGGTGTGGGTTCCAAACTGGTGCCGCATACTACAATATGGGCCTAACGTACACGGTGTACAGGGTCCTGAATGATTCCTTATTAAGATGTCGGAATGCTGTTCTGAGGTTTGCTAGGCGCCCATATGCTGCAGCAGTTATTTGGTTGATGTGCGCTTCAGGAGATGTGCCTGGTGTTATACTCACCCCAAGATCTTTTTCCTTGAGTGATGTTTGTAGTCTCTGGCCCCCTAGACTGTACTCTGTCTGAGGTCTTCTTTGCCCTTCCCCAATCCTCACGACTTTGCACTTGGTGGGATTGAACTCCAGGAGCCAGTTGCTGGACCAGGTCTGCAGCCTATCCAGATCCCTTTGTAGTTCTGCCTGGTTTGTGTGTGTGTGTGTGTGTGTGTGTGTGTGTGTGTGTGTGTGTGTGTGTGTGTGTGTGTGTGTGTGTGTATGTGTGTGTATTTGTGTTTGTGTATGTGAGGGTATGATACTAATGTTGATATTTTTAAGAGCACATGTAATATTAATATTTTAAAAACTATCGGCTGGTATCGGCCGTTTTTCAACGCATATCGATAACGTAAAAATGTAAAAGGACACAAGTGCAACTAATGTGACATTTTATTGTGGCAACGTTTCGCTCTCCAGGAGCTTTGTCAAGCCGCTCTTGGAGAGCGAAACGTTGCCACAATAAAATGCCACATTAGTTGCACTTGTGTCCTTTTACTTTACATATTGTCGGTAATTCTACCAACATTATTACAACGTAAAAATAGTCGATACCGATACTTTGGCGCGGTAAATGATGCTCGGCTTCAGTTTCAGGAGGGTATGTGAAGAGCATCAGCATTGGGCTGGATCTTCAGGGCTCCACCAGCAGAAGCTACGAGACAGTGTTGACGTGGGCCGTCGGTTCATCTGCAGGTCAGCATTCCACCAAGATCCACTTCACCATAATTTCCAACCCCCCAGAAGGCACCTTCGAAGACCCTCATGCTGTAAGTCCCTTTGCACAGTTTTTTTTTCAGCTACAACAGAACAGAAGACGCACAGTTTATTTGGCATTATTTACTGGGTCCCTAAATCCCATTGAACAGACACAAGAATGCTTCATATAATCAGGTGTAGTAAGAATCTTTACACTCATACATAACAGAAGGTACATTAGCTGATCCTCACAAGCATAAGAAGACCTTAATAACGTTCTCCAGATAAGTTAATATTGCCCGTACTAGTAATATAAATTGCCCAATTATCGTAAACATTCAAGTTATTTTGATCTTGCTTGAGGGCCAGCTGCAAGTCTGGTATCAGTAAGCAGGTCATATCGAAACAATATACACTCTGAAACGTCTATACCTGAATATATATTGCTTTTATGCAGCCCGGATGGGATGAGTCACACGCACTTTACAGGCTGAGCTTGGAATGGCTTGTATTTAGCGGGGATTTTGGTTAGCATATTAATAAATTAATCTGTGTCTGTCAGGTGAAAAACCCTTCTAGACAAATTTCCCTCCTCATAGTCACAGTTGTTTACAGTAATCCGGCCTTCTCATATTTGTTTTTCTCTACCGCAATCTACACTTATTATGGTCTTTTGTCCCTTATTTACTCAGCGGCATAAGGCGTTCGTAAAGATTCAGAAATCTGTCTCACTGAAACCAGAATCTCATGACTTCAGTTACAAAACTTTTATAAATATTTTGCACCTCTACACAATGTATTTAACAATATAAGGCATATACATTTCTTCCAGATTTGCTTTGACGTTTTGGTGCTTAAGCCGAAGTTTACGCCCCTGACCACTGTTGAAGACTTGTTGACTTCCAACTTACAAACCATCATCGAGGCTCAAATTTATGATGGAGTATCATGTAAAGGATCACCTGTACTTGAAGGCCAGGTAACGTTGTGTGTAATTAACTAAGCTATGAGAAGTATCTATCTACATATATGTCTTTGTATACGTACACACACACACACACACACACACACACGCACACACACACACACACACACACACACACACACACACACACACACACACACACACACACACACACACACACATATATATATATTGGCAAGGTGACCCAAAAGCAGAAACACTTTCATCATCCTTCACACTATCAGTCTTTGCAGAGGCGCCCAGATACGACAGTTTGGATGACACTCGAAACAGCAGATATCTCAACCCCCTCTTTTAAAGTGCAGGAATTGTACGGTACAACTCCAGGACTCAAGTCCGGCTAACCGGTTTCCTTAAATCCCTTCACAAAACATTACCCTGCTCACACTCCAACTGTTCGTAATGTCCCAAATACCATTCGTCTCCAATCACTCCTATCTAACACGCTCACATATGCCTGCTGTATGTCCAAGCCCCTTGCACACAAAACCTCTTTTACTCCCCCTATCCTTTCCTAGGACGGCCCCTACCCCACCGCCCCTCCACTACAGAATTATACATCATTCAGGTCATCCTATTTTCCTCCTTCGTCTATAAACAACCCCTTCTCAGCCATCTCAATAATACTTCTAGTTACTCCACAATTCCTAATTTCCACACTACGAATTCTTTGCAGCTTATATATTACATAATATGTGTGTGTGTGTGTGTGTGTGTGTGTGTGTGTGTGTGTGTGTGTGTGTGTGTGTGTGTGTGTGTGTGTGTGTGAGTGTGTGTGTCATGCCGAATAGGTAGAACTGGTCAATTAGCAAGAACTC